AGGCAAAAGAAACATTTTTCCAAATCCATTTCTTTAAAACAAAGAAAAAAACTAACAAAACTTGCAGGTATGTATCTGTGTCGGGTGAATCTTTGGTTAGAACAAGCTTGTTTTTCATTCAGTGAAGTTACTCACAGTTGGATCATTTTACTCAAGTAAAAATAGCGATACTTCATAATAATTTAACTTAAGTAAAAGTGATAAGTACAGCGTAGTAAAAATACTCCTAAAAGTACATTTTTCCCCAAAAACTTACTCACATAAACATAACTGAGTAAATGTAACTAATTACTTTGCAACTCTGCTGACTGGACATGCTTCTGTTTGTCATCTGGACATTGCTGGTTAATATCAGCTGACTGAAAGCGTCTCTATTTGTCACCAAACAACCAGGCCATCATCCAGCCTAATTCATCCCATCATTAGATTCAGTTCCCATCTTAGTCAGGTGACTAAAGAACTACAGCCTTTATGTTTGGGAGGGACGATCAGTGTCCACAGTGCACCGTTGCTCTTTGTAAATGTTTCTTCACTGATGTTGCACTGTTCCAAAAATAGATTTCCTTCCTGACTAGTTGATCTGTGACAAACCACAACACCAAGCACCTGATGAGGTTAGTGCTTTTGCTTTAAATATTTGACCACGTCACAAAGTTTTACTGGTCAGGAAGAGGCCGAGGCCATATTTCACACACACCCACACACACGCCCACATGCACGCACACACACACACGGTTTCATTGCCAATGAAAGGGAAATTTTCGATGATGCATTCTATTTCTTTATGTTGTGTGTGGGTTGAGCATCATTTCTGGTGACCTCAGTGTCTTTTCTTTGACTGGGAGCCATGTTGTATCTCTCTGGATTGTTTAGTATTCATTGCTGAACATTTGGCTACATTAATACACAATACACATCACTAACACAAAGCAGGAAGTTGATCTGAAAGATGAACTGTAACATCTCTACAAAACAGGAAGTCAGTATAAAAAAATCAGTTTAGCATCTTTCCACTTTATGAATGTTCTGTTGTGTTTCTATTAAAATACTGGAACAGTTGTCAGTGTTGTAACATATAGGTCTAGTGTTTAAATCCTGCCTGACTGCCTCAGGGTTTGCATGTTTTTTCTGTATATGCATGGGTTCTGTTACTGTCATTTTGGGTTAACTGGTCAGATTTCTGCCAGGTGTCTGCCAGCAGGGTTGCTGTTGTTGATAGGCTGGTGACTTGTCCAGGTGTTACCCTCCTTCTGTTCCTGCTGGAGGTCCACTCTGTGTCATGATGGACACCCAGTGGCAAGTGTAATACAGCCACCAGCTTTGTATTATTCTGCAGGTCCTCATCTACAAACAGACATCCAAGAAGTGATTGGTCAATGGTTTAAGACATTCTGTGTTCATTTGTTGAAATAAGACAACACCAGATGTGTGAACTTGATGGTAACAGAAAATGGGTAGAAAAACAAAACATTTTTAAGCATAAGGTTAGTTTATAGAAAATTATGAATGGATAGGCACTCTATTTCTGGTTATTAGCCATTAACTTCAATCTCATTTTGCCATATTTTTAGTGTAACTAAAAGAGTAGATTGTTGTAAAATCTGGTTCTTGATGTAGCCTACATATCCATAAATTTAAAACGCATTGTTGACATTATTTCTTTTCAGTTTTTACTGCATCTGAAGCTTGTCAAAACTCCTAGATGACCAGCAGCTTGTGTTCCTCATGATGTTATTAACATTTTACCAGCATTATTGGTGAGGCTTCTCAACACTTCAAGCCATTCTGGAGGGGAGTCTGCTGCAGTGAGCTGAGCAGGTCAGCAGGAGGATCAATGAGCTCCAGATGTTCGCTGACCTAAACCTTCATTAGAAACACATGTCTGGTGCTGAAACCTGCTCTCTGTTCACTCCTCCTTTAGAAAGGCTTACACCAGTTAGATTTGCTTCACGGTTTCATTGCACAACTGCTTCGGCGCTCATTTTAGTGCTCACCACAACACCACAGACAAGACAGAAAAACATCTGTGGCCGGCTGTATACCTAGAGGTTGGTTAATGCTTGAGCGTAGAGTGGACTTCCTATGTTTGACCAGAAATGTGTGCGTGCGTGTGGTGTGTGTGTGTGTGTGTGTTATCACTCTGAAGAGTTTTGGTAATCAGCCAGAGTTTGACTAATGGTTGCTGTTCCTGCACCACTGTGTTTCCTATGTTGACTCAGTAGGATGCATGGTCAGCATGTCCAGGACTGAAGCAGTGGGGTCCTTCTTTACTGACCGGAGCTCTTCTGGATCCTTCATCTCTAGCTTTGGGATGCCTCTCCTCCCCACTTGGTGTCGCTCTCTACAGCGGCTGCACTGCTGTTCACCACACTGAGGAACACTCACACTTACAGTAAAAGTGGAAAATTGTAAAACGACCTCCCACCTAATTCCAAAAAGATATATACCCTGTGGAGGTTCCTAAAGGAGAAGCAAGACTTAGATAGTGGTGTACAGGAGACACTACATTTAATTTCCTGAGAAGGTTTGTCAGCATGTGGCTAAACCACAGCATTACATAGTTACTAACAGATATTTGCTGCTCATAAGTACTTATAACAGCATTGCTTAATAAACATAGATGGAGATAAAAAGCTAATAGAGGCCCAGACATTGGACCACATCAAGCCACTAACACAACTGTAAATGTGTTCAGTTTGTCCAGTCATTACTTCTGTTATTTACCAGCTTGGAATGCAACCATTAGCTAGTGTTAATACTCTTTGTCATCCAGAGTATTCTGACTGGAACTTTGTTTTTTTTTTTTTTTAGGTCATTTACTTCATAATTTTGTTGTTTGCATCTGAAATCATAATTGACATAAACAGTCTTAAGCAGTCTTGCCAATACAGTTTTGGCATTAATCTGAGTTTAACTGTAACTCACTGTCACAGGTGTATCAACAATGGTTTTAAATAATAGTTTCCATTTTCTAACATGCAGATCCTCCAGGTTGGGTCTAGGAAATCCAAGAGGTTCATGCTTGAAACCTGGAGCAAACCAAAAGTGCAGTTGTAAGAGGTTGATTTAATTGCTGAAATATTCAGCTCTTTAGTCACACAACAGGAATAGAGTGTGTTCTGCCTCTATGTTTAGCTGCATTTGCACTCTGCTGATGTGTATGTGTGACTTCCTTCCTCTGTATCAATGCAGGGTACAAAGGAGGACACTGCCCAGCAAAATAAGCCAAAGTTCCTGAGTAAGGCTGGCTGGGTGAAGAAGGCCCATGGCCGCCTGCTGACGAGCTACAAAGACCGCTACCTTCATGTGGAGAAGACCGAGGTTGTAGTGTATGAAAATGAGGTACAATACAGCAGAGGCCTGCTTCAGTGTTGTCACATGACCCCAAAGATGTCATTATGCTTTGGGTGACCTTGCTCCAGACTGGTCCATACAGAACTTTACTTTGTTTTCCAGGATCTGCAGAACTGCCTGGAGCGGCTGGACTTGGAAAACTATGAAACATGCCATGAATTGAAGAGTCCTTTCAAGAAGAAGCACAGACTGGTTCTGATACGGTCTCCAAAGTCTGGAAACAAGGTGAGTTAAGACGCGCTTTAACAGGATGTTCAATGGAAGAAAGACCAGTTCATTTATTTCAGAGCACCAGTTACCATGGTAATCAGTTCTTGTGTTGTGTAGGTTATTTCCACTGGGTGTGGCATATTTAAAGCATCCAGTTTGAATTCTGTTCCAAAAACTTAGGTGAGGACATTTTGGTGGTGCCTCCATATTTACTTTTTAAGAAACTGATTCTATCTAGTAACTTAGTCCAGACATATTAAGAAAACATGGAATTACTGTCAAATTCCTGCAACTGCTTCAGTGTTGCTTCAGTGTTGTGTAGGCCTTTTCACCAATAGTTGATGACGATCTGTATTGGTTCATGGTATTTAGTGTATGGTGATGAACTGAAGCATCATCAGTCAGCTGATAGTTGACTGTTAGAAGAATAACAGTCAACTATCAGACAGAAACAACAATGATGTATTGAGATTTAAAATGGATGTGACAATTGTAATAACTGCAACAGTTTGTAAATTATGACATCGTTCAACATTTTATTTAATTAAATTAAATATATAAAGTCTTTATATTTTTAAGTTGTAAAGAATTTCTAACTTAAAGATATAGTGTTACAAAAAATTATTGAACATTTGAATAATTCAACATATTCAAATGTTCAGTTATCACTGGCTAAATATATATACAATTTGACAAGTCATTTCGTCCAAGTCTAAGTCAATTCTCAGTTCTTTTGCCCCAAGTTAGAGTTGAGTCTTTAAAGAAAATACATTTATTCTCATCTAATCAACAACATCTAGGTCACCTCTAACTCTGTGTTGCTGTGTTTAAAACTTATTTAATTATATTATTTTGAAAATTCACCAAATTTAATTTTTACCCTATTGGAAATAGCCAAAATAAATATAGAAGGATGTTAAAACCTATGAATGTTTCATTTTTTAATTAATTAATTAATTTTTGTCTTTACGATAACCATTGTTCATCCCTGTTGTCATATTGTCCTCTCCTTTTTTGTATATTGTATTAAATATGGTTTGGAGAGTATTCTCCTCCTCACTGACCTGGAGAAGTTTTAAGTTTGGGAAAACATTTAACAAATCAACATTTAATTGATTTATTAAATGTTTGTTATACAGGTTGAGAAGAGAGGAAGGGAAAGCATAGATAAAATGGAACAATCTGACATCACTGAATTATCTGTTGTCAAGCCAATCGCTGCGCTAAAGCTACAACCACCGGTAGCCTCAGCTACACCTGGAGATACAGCTTCAACATCAAAACATAGCAAAGCACAATGAAATAATAACCGGTTTTATCCTAAACTAATGTACTCTGCCCAGACACAACTTCTTAAAGTGAACCCTTGTGATGAACAGGAGCACAGTGAGATCAGTAGCTTCACATGAACTTTTCACATGGCGTTTTCTTCAGGTAGTGGAAGGAAAAGTCCTTTGGGATTAGAGATAACCTATTTTTTCTCAGAGAATATTTTTTGCCAAGATTCATCTGATTTTACACAGCCAGTGTTTTTTCTTTGAAAATGCAGTGTTTTTACTCAGGCAGTAAGATCAAGATATTCTGGGTGTGTCCTCCCAGTGCAGCCGGTGGAGAGCTGCAGGCAAAGAGAAAGGCATCACATATGACATCATCATTCATGTGATTCCTCCTTCATGAAAAGGGGTTAATATGCTAACCATTCTAGGATCCAGAGTTTTTTTTTTTTTTATCAGTCTTGTTTGTTCTCTGTGTAGTTCAGTCTGTGTTTCATCCCATGGCTGGACCCAACAATCCAAACTTAGTTGAATATCTGATTGACGCAATCAGAGTGTATGTTGCTGCAAATCTGACCCATTGGGCAGCTCCATATTCTCTGTTATCTCAAATAAATGTAAATTGTGTCAACCTGAATTAGCTTGTGATCAATAAAAACAGTTGTTGTGGATAGAGGCTGCTGAAAATGCATTTTCCACAAATTAATGATGCCAGTATGTAGTTTCTAATGACTGCTGGGTTACCTGCTCGGCAGATGAAGATGCAAAAATGGGAAATATCAAACTTAATACAGCTGGTTGTCTCATTTGTGTTCTTGCTAGAATATTGAAAGTGAGTGAATGCAACCAAGGCTGCTGTTGTTTCATCTGAATGATCAGCATGTGAAGAGCTACTTGGCTGCCTGTACCTTTCTCCAGGGTAACCCTTCTGAGTTGTGAGTCTGAATGGTGGCAGTAGAAACCCTCCTGGAAGTGTCCCAGCTGCAGCAGTGTGTTCCTTACACCATGCTGCTGTGCAGTTCCAATTCCCCTTCTAAGAAACAGTGGAATAGCTTTGGAATTAAATATAAAGAGGTGCCTGCTTTATACCACTGGCAGATCCATGATGTGAAGTTCCAGACTCAGACTGTAGAGGAGAAGGAGGCCTGGATCAAAGCGCTCAGTGATTGCATCAGCCGAGCTAAAAACAAAGTCTTTGACGAGGTAAACAGAAATTTCTGTTGAGGGATTCTTAATTACCTCCATCTTTATCTTTTAGCTTCGCCTCTTAATAATCTGTCCCCATCTCCACTCATCCGCATATCCTTCTCAACTACTCCATGAACACTATCTTCTTCATCTGTTGCCCAGTCATCTCCAACTTGCCTCTTAAGCTGCTCCAACTGAGCTGTCTCTCACATCATTTGAAATCCTGTTCATTTTGTCACCACAGCATCTCCACTTCTGCCTTATTTCTGTTGGCTAGAAACAGAAAGAAGGATACACTCTCCTAATAATAACTACGTAGTAAAATGTTGTTTTTTTATTGTGATATATAACAAATACAAGTGTTGAAAATGTTTGTACAACAGTAATAGAGAAAAGAAAAAAGAAAAAGAGAAATAGGAGAAGGATCCAGTATGGTACTTAGGTACTTGTAGTGTTGTCGATATGATAAAGGAAAAAGGAAGATAATGTTAAAATTACTGATCAAATAATATACCATTACTACTACTACAGAAAAGCTAATATTATTACTTTACTATTAGTTGTTATTTGTTTTGTTTTGTTTTAGTAAAATGTTCTTGCACTAGTTCTTATGTCACAAATCTGTGTCTCCATCCACTCCACCCTAACTACCCGTTCTTCTTCAGCTCCGTTGACCCCTGCTGCTTAAACTCATCCACCATGAATCTTGTTGCTTCACTATTCCACTTCTCTGTTGCTCTTATTCACATATATTTTTTATTTACATTCTATTTGTCCTCAAACATTTAGAATTTGGCATGTATATTATAGGTGAAAGTTGATGAAAGCAGTAATTTAGAGCATATTACCCGAACAAGACCTCAAGGAAACCGCAACCGGCGCCCACCAACCAGGATCCACATGAAAGAGGTATGAATCTTGAACTCGCACTGTAGAGATTGACTCTTTCATAATGTGCAAATGTTATCCAGTGTTTTCTAGAATCATAAGACATAAATAAAAAAAAGGTTTAGACCACATAGCTGTATTATTCTGTCTCTGCCAAAAGGTTTGGCCCTGATCATGTGCATAGCTATTTAACATACTGAGAATATACCAAAGACATAAATGCCATCCATCCATTCATTTTCTTACACTCTTATCCCAATGGGGTCGGGAGGGGTGCTGGTGCCTATCTTCAGCTGTCAGTCAACGGGCGAGAGGCAGGGCAACACAGAGACAGACAGGACAAACAACCATGCACGCCCACACTCACACCTAAGGAGAATTTATACAGTTATGTTTCTGGACTGTGGGAGGAAGCCGGAGCACCCAGAGAGAACCCATGCATGCACAGGGAGAACATGCAAACTCCATGCAGAAAGACCCTAGAATCAAACCACGGACTTTCTTGCTGTATGGTGACAGTACTACCAACTGCGCCACTGTGCAGAATAAATGAAAAAATCATGTCTCTGCTTCTGAAACCATTGAGGTATTCATTTGCCTGTTAATGTGATATTTCTTCCTGATATTTCACTCTTTGGAAATATTTATAGCACATAGTTTAAAATCTGCAGTGTTCTTAAAGCTTGTATTGTGTTCTGCTCTAGGTGGCAGAGGTGTCCTCCGATGGTCTCCTGCGGTTGGATCTTAATCTTGAGGATGCTGTGATCCCTAATGGGACAAATACTGCTAAAACAGACAGTACTGAAAGTCCTGAAACAGCTGTCGCAGAGAAACAATCAGTGTTGAGGACAGATGAGGAGAAGAAAGCCATCAAACCTCCCATGCCTCCCACCAAGGAGGCTAAATCCAGTGTTGTACCTGAGAATGAGCCTAATAAACAAGATGAAGAAGAAAAGGTTTGTTCAACTTTTCCATGCAGAAATACTATGTATTCTATATCTATACCATATAATACTACTACATACAATAGTCTCAAAGTAAATTTACATGAATATAATGGTCTATAAAACCGATTTCATGTTTTTCAAGGTCATGAAACCGCCAATGCCTCCATCAAAAGAATCTAAACCCAGTGTTACACCTGGGGAGGTGATTTTACAAGATGAGAATACTGATGACAAGAAAAGCACAAACCCACCACCAACACCTCCCAATAAGCCCAGCTCCAGTGGGTCATTGAGCAACCCTGTAGAAGTGTTACCAGCCTCACCAAACCACCACCCCCCAACACCTCCGTCCAAGGACAAGAAGCCTTCGCAAATGGTTGTGGAGCCCAACCAACAGACACAAGATACAGCTACTGAACAAAGTGAGGACGAAACAGCAATGATCAATGATGAGGTAGACCAGTCTGAGGAAACTGTCCAAAATGGTGAACCCAAAATGACCTCTAACAAACCCAAAGTTCTGCCAGAAGACCTGTCAACTGTCACTCAGCCTAAAGGATCACACTCCACTGCTTTTGATACCTCAGCACGTTCTCTTGAAGTAGAGGAGGCTTCACTGCAGAGTGTCCCTTCAGTAGTTGTCTGCACAGACGACCCACTCACTGAGACCCTCAACCTGAGTCCGCTTCTCCACCACCTGCCAGGAGAGAAGAAAAAGAAGGCTGAGGAGAAATCTGTAGACAGTGGCCAGCACTCTGACGATGAGAGTGAAAGCTCGGTGAGTGAAGACACGCTGGCAGCTTCCACGGCTGCTCTCCATGGAAGCCATGCTGGCCTGGATGTGTTGGATGGCACTGAAGATGAAAGGGAAATCCCTGTTAACTTAAGGCCATCAGCCAGTCTTCAGGTTAAACCAGATGTCACCCCCTGTCGGCGCTCAGAGCCTTTCCAGAAACCTCTCAAATCGTCAATCAAGGCCAGGTCTGCATCAATCGGAGATCTACTGTCTGACTCCCTGGGCTCCGGCCAGCTGAAAACCACCTGGAAAGCTGAAAATGAAGGGAGCATATCACCCTTTCAAAATTCTATAACAAAGCTTGAGACTGAAGTGGCTCTGGAGATGAAAAATACGAGTGAGCTCCTCAGTCAGGCTCAGGAGAGAAGTTACGCTGAGGTAATGCCAGAGGATCTGCTTGCTAAAGCTCTGGAGAAGCTCCAGAAGGCTGACTGCGTCCTCAGAGAGGTCAAGAAATTGAAAATTACAAAGAAGAGGATGAGCTGGTAAATAAGTAACAGCCAGTCATCTAGGAATTAACTGATTGGACATTTATTCTCTGTCCTATCAGAGAATAACTGTCACCCAAAACATTTAAAAAGGGTTCAGTTGGTTTGGGAGCATAAAACTCTGGTCTTTCTATGGAACTGAGGTTGACTTGTATATTTTGCTGTCAAATATTGGTTGACAGTTTTCTAAAGTTGGGTTAAACTCATTCAGTCTACTTAGATATGAAATAAATAAAGCCTTATGGGAAAAAACAAGTTAAAGATGGTTTTTACTGGATGTGTTAGTATTTTACTGAACACAGTTTGGTAAACTAGCTTAGGTCAGGTTGGAGGAAGTAGTCCTTTAGTGGGCAAATGTATCTCACATTTAACAGATAGAGCATCCCATGCAGCTTCTTATAATCAACACAGTACCATTCTTTGCACATTTATTGCTTCAGTTTGTTTTGTTAAATCATAACCTGAAAGAAAAGAAGATTTATTTTAACAGCAAATTAAGAAACATTTTATCATTTCCTCTGGGAACCTTAGCTTTTCTTTCAGATACATACGCTGTTTATATGATGTATATACTTGATCATTTTTCTGCAGCATATGTTTTATTGTTGATAGTGGAATTAAAATGCACCTGTATAGCTCAGGAGTTTTCAGACTAACTACATGATTAATGCAGATAAAGATGTTTCTGTTTCACATAAAGGGATCAGTTTTTAACAGTAATATATATTTTTGTACTGGTATTGTACTTTGCACAGAGCAAAGCTCACTTTAACCCATTTTACAGTTTAGTCCTTCATAAAAAAATACATTTGTGAACAATTTCTTACGCCGTAATCTAAACAGATACATTTCTGTTCAGTACTTTCTTACCAGAAAACTGTTTTAAATATGTCTCAGCATATATATGTATGTAAGAATATTTTTAATAATGGTTTTGTACACTGATTAAAAAAAGCTTTTGATAATGCTGAAATAAACCAGGAGAAGCATTTTTCCTTATGTCTTGTTCTTTAATAGAGCTGCACTGTAGTTTTCTGTGTGAAATTCAGCCAGTTGAATTTCAGTCTTTAGTTATTGTATCCCATGCACAAAAAGAAAATAGATTTCTGCTTAAAGTGAGTGAAGATGTTCAGGTTGTAGCATCACAAACCATTGACTTGACTCCTGAATATTTGCTCTTGTTGCCATGTCCTGTAAGACGTACCTGTGCTCTGCTCTAAGAACTACAAGCTTTCTATCCTCTGTTCCAAATGTGACAAGTTGCTATTTGTGTTTTTCCATTTGGAATTAAGATGTAGAGACAGTGGACCAGCATGGTCAACAGAGCCTTGTCCTCTAAAAGCGTAGCCTCATGTTGAATGTTGTCTCTTGATTTAATTAGACCCAGACTGAGACTCAGTTTATGAGTCTAACCTCCTTAACCTGCTCTGAGGTTAGAGTTTCTAATTGGTTGATGGGAAGTTCTTCTGATTGTTCAAGACGAAAAGCTTTGGTCAAGTTCACTTTACTGCTGGGACATGGGACAACCTGTTGAAGTGATGTTCCATAGGAATTATACAAGCAAAATAAACTATGTTTTTTGTTTCATGTGTGTAACTAGATGTTCCAAGGTGTTAATTGTTGCTGTTGGGGTAGAATTAGACAATCAGCCCTGAGTCAGCTCTAAAAGCCACAGACATGGAGTAGGAAGATGTGTAATAATTTTAAAAAGACAAATTCAGTTTAGGCTTTTAGCAAAGTTGTTGAAGTTTGGAATAGGAAGGAAATCACCAAAATTATGAATTACTACAATCCATGCAAAATGCTTTATATGAATCAAAAGATAGACTTGGAATCGACTTAATTGGAAAATATTTTGGTGTGTAATTGTAATAAACACAACTGATTTGGGATGCTAATATTAATCAGAATGGAACAGTAATAGATTAATGGACAATAAAAATCTTACCTGTGTAAATGATGGGAGGAGCAAAGAGTTAATATGGAAACAGGTGTGGTATAAACAACTGATCAGTTGTCCTTGAACAATTGATCTCAGTCAGTTGTTCACAGGTAGAAATACAAAACTATCAATTTAAAGGAATTTAAATGACAAATGTGTGATAATTCTTACATTTGGGAAAACAGAAATAAAATATCCATTAAAACAGAGAGAGAAAGAGATCATTTCACATCTGGGATCTGGACACACTGAGCTAAACACCACTCTGTTCATTTTAGGGAAAGATACACACATTTGTAAAGATGCAATAGAGAACAATCAGACTGATAAGAAGTATGAGGAAAAAATAAAACAATGGATTCAAAACCTAAACAGAAACTAGACAAAACTAGCTTTAATTGATTTAGTCATAAATCATTTAAGAGATTAAAATTGTTATCAGACAATATTTCCGTAACTTCGATTTAAGGCACTTCTATGACAATGTAGTCCAGCTGTAGGCGGTGGTAAACCAAGTTGTTGTTTTCCCACTGCAGATGAACAGCAGGAAGGAGCAGCAGTGGCTGCTCACCATGTTTGTGGAAAATGTTATATTATTTATAGCATATGTGATTAACTGCACATATCAAGCTAAGCACCAAACAGAAAAGATTCAAATAATAGTAAGAGGAGCTGAAAAGTTTTTGGGGTTCAATAGATCTTGGGAAGATATTAATAAAAGTTTGGGATCAGATGGGAGACCAGCCCCAGGTGATAAAAACATATAATATTACAGAAGTTTAATTGCAAACGGACAGGAATTTAAAAGATATATACCTACCAGAGATTATATGTATACAGAAAACATGGCTAAAACCAAATCTAGATTTTGTTATAAAAGTATAAGAAGGGACAGAGAAGAGAGAAGTGGAGGAGGGTGTGGGGTTTTTGTAAAACAGAGAATACAAAATGAGATTTTAGGGAAAGTAGAACTGGAATATATTGTAGTTGAACTATGGGGAGTTTTTACTCTAAATCTAAGATAATACATTTTTATAATCCATGTAAATTAATGACATTTGAAAAGATGGAGGAATTGATGGGATATTTGAAAGGGAAAGCTATATGGTGTGGGGATTTTAATGCAAGTAGTTCACTATGGGGTAAGTGATAAAGATGGACAAGTTATAGAAGAATTAATGGAAATGAAAAATCTTGTATGTATTAATAATGAGAGTGGAACAAGAAATAATATAAGAAAAGGAATGGAGTTAGTAATTGATTTAACAATTGTTTAAAATGTTTTAGCTGGTATTTGTGATTGGTTCATTGATAAAAAATCTACCATAGGTAGTGATCATTATTCCATTACAACAAGAGTATAAACTTTAAATAATAAGTTTATAAAGAAAAATAAAAATTTGAATTTTTTTTTTTAATGAACCACTAGGATGGAATGGATTAAATATACCATAGGTATTTGAGTCAAATAAACATGATGTAAATGATGTAAATTTTGAAACTGTAAAAATGTTAAGAAAATGGCACCATGGTGGATGAACGAATGTAAAGAAGCATTTAAAGTACAAAAAGGTTATCCAATTTGTAAGAATTTAATTTACTAAAAAAAATATGCAATGGTAAGAAGAATTATATACAAAAAGAGAATACTGGAGATTTTTTTGTTGTACATTAGGGAGAGAAACAACAATTGAAAGAAATTGGAAAATAATTAAAAGAATGAATTGGTTGCTAGTGGCTCCAAATTTGGGTCCTGCAGCACTTCTACCAACGAGATCAATCTAAGCACATGCTACATAATAACCTATATAGTCATATTGCATATCCATGTAAGGGGGCAAAAGCTCATCTAAATGATAACAATATCATATCTTTATATAGACAGATATATTTCTATAGATAGATAAATGGATGGGTGGATTTAAGTATATATGTTTAGATCAGTGGTGCCCAAAGTTAATCCTGGAGGGCCGATGTTCATCCTGCATGTTTTGGTTCTCTTCCTGTAGTAACAACCTCCACATTAAGTCAGTGTTCTTCTCTTCTAAGCCATCATTGGATGCAGGTGTGTTAAACCAGGGAAACATGCAGGATGCCGGGCCTCCAGGACCTACTTTGGGCCCCCGTATAGTATGAATTAAATCCTTATGAACTGCGCTCCATAGCAGTAGGTGGCGGTAATGGTACTACGTGTTTTTTGCCAACTGCCAGTAAAAATAAAGAAAGAAAGAAAGAAGAAGAAAAAGCAGCAGCAGAAGAAGCCGTTTAACCATTTGTTGGGAAACACAGGGTTTATAGAACTTAATATTTTATGTTCTGGGACTGAAAACTCGGAGTTTATCCCAGATCTTCTTGTGGCTTTCACCGCATCGTCTTTTTCTCGTTTTTCCTTCCAACCTGTTTTGTTGTCTCTGAAATGATGTCTCCAGGCGAAACTGTTATGCAGTCCTGTAAGAATGAAGACGGAGGTTTGTCATTTTACTCCAGACGGTTTTACTGTCCTGTTTTTGCTGCCTTCGGCCTAAACTTTGCTGCGCTTCAGTCGTTAGCAACGCAGCTAACTGACTACCACAGAAACAAGGGGAAATAAGTATCTGATACACCGAAGACTGATCAAGCTTCCCCTCGTTTCACCTCAACTGTAAGAGACGGCATCTAAAAAATTGTATTGTGTGATTTTTAGATAACTTTTTAACATAATAAGTATTTGATCATCAAACAACCAGCAGGAGTTCTGTCTTAGATTTAACCTTTCTACCCTCCACTCATTACCTGGATTATTTAAACCTGTTGGAACTCGGTACCTGTATAAAAGACACCTGTTACTAAGGTAACCATACACTACTCCATCATGGGTTAAAATCCTACAGTGTACTAAAGGTCCCCAGCTCCGTCTTAATTAAGATGACCATCTGGACCGTCCAGAGGAGACCTGGAAAGGTCATGAGGTCAGATGAGACCAAAACAGAATTTTCTGGAATGAAGTCCACTCACTGTGTTTGGAGGAGGAAGAAACATCCCAACTGTGAAGCACGGGGGTGGAAGCATCATGCTTAGGGGCTGACTGTCTGTGAAACAGGCAGTATGGCTGCAGTGTACTGAGGAGAGGCTGGGCGGGTCATCTGTTCAGAAACGGAACATTTGGAGGGAACTGGCAACAGGCCATGAAACCTGAGCAATCTGAAGATCGGTCCATATTTCTTTTGTAGTAAATACTTATTCATATTATTTAACATATTATTCTTGCGATAAAATGCTAATTATTTAAAAATCCTACACTGATTTTTTTTTTTTTTTTTTTGTGAATCCCATCTCTCAATGCTGAGGTGAAAATCAGACCTCTCGTCTGTGGAAGTGGCTGTTCAGATACTTATTTTCCGACTGTATTGAGTGGAACTGTGCCAAACAGTCAGCTCACTTCACTGCCTGTTTGCATTCTATTTGTCAGTGTTGGGAACCAGAAGACTTCTGTGTCCGATTCACGGCTGTAAGCGTGTTTACACGGAGCAGAGCGCTCTGGAGAGTCACATCATGGACCACGAGAGCCCGGCTCAGTCCCTGCCTGGTGAGCCCACAGTCTGACTACCTCAGTTTCTTCTTCTTTTTATTCCAACAACTTAATTTGTTGTTAAACAATGCGATTGCAAGTTTAAACACAGAAAATGAAATAAGTGAAAGGTTAATGAAGAACAAATAAAAAAAAAATTGAATTCATTCAGTATTCATAAGCTTAGTAGTAGAGGTTTTCCATGAGTTTCAGGTCCTCTACCATCTTGAAGATATTCACAAGACTTTTTTTTTCATATGTTTTGGTGACAAAAAGAAAATGCACTTTGTGGAAGGCAATAAAGTTTGATGTAGATCGAAGAAATCTATTCTTGTGTATAATAATCATCCCTAGAATGACAAAGTTGTTAATTATCAGGTCATGTAGGTTTTTTTTGATGAAGTCATATACATTTTCTATTTCCAAATCTGGAAACTGTATGTATTTAGATAACATACAGTTATCTGCCTTAGCAAACATACAATGATGAGCCCATTGTGGAGTGATTTCTGACAAGATGCAGATGATTTCCTTACAACTCTTCTCATGATGTTTCATTATGTTTTTCTGGTAGATCATGTATCTTGAGGTTCCAGCATCTCTCCAACTCTGTTACTTTTTCATTTTGTTCTTTATTTTCTTTGGTAATTTGAGGAATTATTTTTCTCTTACAGTAGCTTTGCACTTTGTGATATTAGCTGTGTCATTTTCCACTAGCTTAGCAATGCTAGGTACCATTGTGGAGGTTTTTGTCAACTGCTCCCCAAAATTGTCAATTCTTAAAGTCAGTTATTCAATTGCTTCAACCAGCGTCCTGGGTTGTTTTAATCTTAATAGGTGGAGTTGATGGTTTGGTTGGAGTAACAGGGGAATTTCTCCTCTTACCAGAGAGATTAGAAGTCTCCATTGATGCATAATCATGGTCACCCAAACTAGCTTGATTTGAGGTTAGCTTAGCACCAGCTTTTCTGCTCACAATGTCTTGCTTCTCCTAGTCTGAGTAACTCTGGAATAACTACTAATTTTTTATTTATTTTTTATTTTTTTGCACAATGTGAAGGAACTCTCATGAAGACACTCACCCTCCGTTCGTCTATGTATTATTATTGGTATTATGTGCAAAATCTGGGGCAGTAGGGTGCAAGCTCATAAGAGGGCGTCTACTTGCTCAGCCATTTTGCGGTTCCTCTCTCCTGTGGTTCTGAGTTGACCCATGAAGTGTTCGCTGAGTGGCTGAAGGTTGTTTCCTCCCTCCAGGTAAGAAGCTGCTGTGCTCCACCAGCGGCTGTAGCGCCTCCTTCCCCAGCATGCAGAAACTGATGGAACATACCAGGCATCACTACAAGCCTAACATCTACTTCCAGTGAGTTGAGTCTAACAGCTGGTGTGTGTGCACGTGTGTGTGTTGGAAATGACAGAGTGTTTTCTGTGTGCGAAGGTGTGAGAGCTGCCGCACCAAGTTGCGCTCCTACCGGGGCCTCCTGGCCCACCTGCACACCTGCTCCAAGGTGCCGAGGGCCAAACCAAAGGCTGCAGAGCCAGCGGCCCCCGTGCTGGCTGCCGTGGCTGCCTCCAACTCGGCCCCCAGAACCTCTGAGCTGGCTCCTCCACAGCTAGAGTCGGTGTCTCCACAGCAGGCTCCCATCCAGACCACATCAGTCCCCTCTGCTGTCCCTGTGCCAGACTCTGCTGACCCTCCTGGGCTTGGGCCCCCCATGTTGAGTCTCCAGGAAGTCCCACCTTCCCAGCGTGTTGAAGCCCCCCCACAGAGCCCTCTCAGGGACGCAGCCGCTAAGCTGGCGGCCAGCTTCAGGCCCATAGCTCCCAAAGCAGCTGCAGACCTGGCTGCTCCAGGATCAGCTGCTTACCCTGCCTCCTCCGCTGTCTGGAGGAAGAATCAAGGTGAGCCTGTTTCCATGGTAATGAACTCAAAGCTTCTGCGCTCAAAACATATTTTCTGTTTTGAGTGTCTAAAATAACTTTCTCTTAATTTTACGTCTTAGATTAATGCTGAAAGTTATTAATAGTTCTCCAGTCATATGTCCAACAGTTATCTCCAATATTATTCACACCCTGGCAGATTAATGAGACCAGCAGGTTTCTTTTGACTGGAAGTAATCTGAATGTTTTGGTCTCTGAGCAGTAGGGTGGCGGCCCAGAGGCGCTCCAAGCTGACCTCCAAACATCATTTATCTAAACACCAGGAACTGGCAGAAATCTGCTCAGCTATTAGAACAAAGTGTGATGGCAGCAATGCCAAGAATGATTTTTTAAAACTGAATAAGTAACTTTAAAAAATTATTCTTGGCATTGCTGCCATCACACTTTGTTTAAAGACAAGTGACAGATCACTAAAACAGCTCATTCTGAAAGCTCAAAATAGGCGCAAACACAAACTGCAATGAACATGTCTTGTAGCGTATAGATCTATCCTATTCTGTTCAAGGAAGAATTATACGTCACCTTTAACTGTTTATCCTTTTGCCTCAGCTGTGTCGAGCCACAGACGTGTCCTTTGGGAGCACACTAGGGGGCGCTATACCTGTGTCCAGTGTGGTCACACCCTAACCAACCGCAAGGAAATGACTCAACATATCAACAGTCAGCACCATGGCAACAAATTTGGAGAAGAAGCAGGAAGTACTGTCCCCAAGTCTTAGCTCAAAGTTTTCTTCAGTTCTACAGCTGGGTGAGGAGAGGCGGGGCTAATCCAGACAAAAACCTAAACATGTCCCTGATCACCGTTCACATGGCTACGCTGACATCAGTCAGTGAATATTGACTAAATGTAATTCTTACTGCTTGAACTCCAAAACTTAATATTTAAGCATACTGATATCTAGCATTTTTAAATGTCCATATCTGGTTTTAATTCAATGTTAGTAGTTGATTAATATATAATGCAACAACATATTGTGATTATTATTCTCCTGGTAATAAATAACATGTTTTGGTTTGGCTCCTAACCTCTACTTTTGGTGTAATATATCTTTAAGAACATCTGCATGAGACAGATGTTCCTATGCGAAAACATGTTTAAATACTGGCAGTAAAAACAGACTTAAAGATCTGTTCCATGTTTGTCATTCTTTGTCAATTTTCTTTCAAGTCATAATCAACATTGCTGTGTGTGAACCATGGCGGTATGTCCTGGTGTGTACGCTGGTAC